TGAATTGCAAGTTTTTAGTAGCTATCACAAGGCAGGGAAGCAATATTCTTTATAAAATACTTGCTTGTACAATTCTTAATATTATGGTATGGAGGAAATATTGGTCAAATGGTTTTATATGAATACTATAGAAGTGATTTTTTAAAAATTCTAAATCTAAGAGACCTTGAGCAAAACTAGGTTTCCGTAACCAGAGAACAGAGGAATAGAGTATGTGAGATTAAAAACCAGTAAATCACATAAGAACTTAAACATTAATGATTAGGGACCATTCATGAGATATTAGGTACAACCATAGCACTAATGTCTTTAAGTGCTGCATTACTCAGATCTAGCTGGTGGGCTTTTACTTTTCCTGGATGGATTTTAACTAAATAGACTTTAGACATTTGGATATAGATAAATGCCTAATTCAGTAATTAGTATTTTAAAACTGTGAAACCTTTTAAGTTAAGTGGTCTATTAATTAACTACCAATTATCTTGTCTGACTACCATATCAATAGAAGTAAATTACTGACTAGCTACTTGACAGATTTAGTCCTTTACCATGCAAAATTTCTTTGGAACATAAAAAGCCTGAAGTTAAATGCTTTTGCATCCCCCTTTTGGTTAACCAGGGATCAATTTGCTGCTCACATATAAAAAGCCAGATGCAGCTCTTTGGTCAAAAAAAATCTATAGATAAACTTTGGTTTTTAGAAATGACAAGATTCTACTCCCTCCTTTAAAAAGAAAAACATGTGAAGCAATATGAATATTTTGGGGGAAACATGGGTTTACATGAAGGCCAACTTTCCACATTTCAAAGTAGAATAGAGAGAGGTATTTTCAAGTTTTTGCATCTCACTAAGATACAGAAAGAGCCTACATGAACGATTCCTATGCTAGAGCTGCAGTGCATGATGTTGCATTCATTCTACATGCTCTTGTCCTAACTGTGAGTACTTCACAGCAGACTATACTGCCTAGAACCTACCCTAAATCTATCACTTCTTGACTGGTGACCAAGAGAAGGTCTCTAGGAGAGCCGCTGGTGATAAAACGGCACTGGAAGAAGTGTCACAGCAGACTCAAAGGCTGTGCAGAATTATGCCAGGCATTGTGAAGGCTTCCAAAGTATATAAAAATTATACCCGGCTACGAAGGAAAGAATTGCTGTAGGGGTCCTCTCCTTGAGGACTGGTCACTGGGAAGTATGAATCGTTGCTACTCATTCAATTGGAGCTTGATTCAAATTGGTATATCGGCCTTCTCAACGTTGCTAGCCTCCCACCAAAGAGCAGAATAAAAATGAGAACACAGGTGAGGCAGGAAGAATGGAAAAATTATATAGGAAAGCAGAAGAAGTTACAAACAATAACAAATGTGAGCCAGCCCCAGTTTGAGATAACAATCTTACATGGCTTGAGTTAGTCCAACATAATGCTTACCACTTCAGAACACAGACCCATGTGACTGTTCTCTGAATAGATAATCTTCTAAATATTTAAGCAGAAGTCTGTCATTATCAAATATTGAGTGACTTAAGAACAAAGTTCTGTTTCAGGCACAGGAAAACAAACAGATGTATATAACAAACTGCCTTCAGACAGCTTGCCATCTACTTTGGGATGCAAGGCACGGCGCATAAAAAGCTGGCCGGGCGCGGTGGCTCACGCCTGTAATCCTAGCACTCTGGGAGGCCGAGGCGGGCGGATCGTTTGAGCTCAGGAGTTCCAGACCAGCCTGAGCAAGAGCGAGACCCCGTCTCTACTAAAAAAAAAGTAGAAATAAATTAGCTGGACATCTAAAAATATATATATATAAAATTAGCTGGGCATGGTGGTGCATGCCTGTAGTCCCAGCTACTCGGGAGGCTGAGGCAATAGGATGGCTTGAGCCCAGGAGTTTGAGGTTGCTGTGAATTAGGCTGACACCATGGCACTCTAGCCCAGGGAACAGAGTGAGACTCTGTCTCAAAAAAAAAAAAAAAAGCTATACCACAGAGCACATACTATGCACCAAAGGATGGGAATGACAACAAAGGCTTGGAGAAATTAATGGAAAGAAAAGAAAAACCTTAGACAAGTCATTTAACCACAGGTTCATTGGAAAACAAATGGTTGGACAAGAATGTCTCTGTGGATCCTTGCAGCTCTAATACCCAAAAAGGCCAGAAGGGCTGGAGTGGGAGGGAAAGAGTGGGAGGGAAGTTATATTGAGAACTGGAGCTAGGCTTTAAAAGGCACATGGAATGGAGGAGGAGGGTGTTCCAGGTAGGGGGAATAGTATTAGGAATGGTTTGGAAGTGAGAGTACCCACAGCTTTTCATTGGAAGTCCACATGGTTTTCTATTTCACTGTATGTGACTTTAACTCTGAGTCAGGATCAACATACTATTTGTTATTTTATGAAAACAGACATTAACTGCTACTCAGACATCTGGCTCAAGACGATCTGTTCAAATGACTGAACAAGTCTTTGCTCAGCTGATCTACTTTTTAAAATATATGGGGCAACTTCTTTTCCCCACATAATACAGTAAAAAGACATACTCATTATTTTTTCTGGAAGGGAAACAGCACATGCCAATGTCAACACATCTTTGAAAAGTTACCACCAACATTTTCACCTAAGAGGACTACTGGAAGGGAAGCTGAATTCAGGTGGCTCTTACAACACTATTTAACCCCTGTAAAAAAATAAAAATTTAAAATTTAAAAATCACTGTAAAAATTATAGTAAATTGTCCTTTAAATTTTTGTTGCTAAATCTGAACTTCTCAAAAGGTTTGTAAATCTCAGCAAAAAGTCAGAAATTCCAACTCTAAAATGAATTTTCTGACTCAATATTGAAAATAAATTCTTAAGTTTAGATGCTTAAGGGAAAAACAGCTGGAGAATTCAGGAGCCTCCCATATTTTAATATGAAGTGACGTCATTCTGTCAAGGCTTCCAAGAACTCCTTAAATTGTGTGGTTAAGCAACATCTCAAAGCACAGTGAGGACTCTAGGAAGGTGGTATTTTCCTCCTTGGTACACAGATTCAGTTGCAGAATAATTTTCTTTTAGGGATTTCATTAGATTTTTCTCCTTATGTTAGAAAGTAGCCTAATGTTAGAAGTACAGTATATCAATTTATGTGTTTTTCAAAGCTAAGGCTATGGATTTTCTGTGCTTAACACATTCTAGCTCTCATTTTATCAGATGTCTTTCTGGAGCTGTTTTCCTGTTATAAATATTTAACTGCAGATTGTACAGCGTTTCTTTAAGAACCTGGTTACATTTGAAATTTTACAATTCAGCAAAATAATCACACAGAGAAAGCAGGCAAGACGGCTAAACTTCAGAGTACTTGGTGTAGGTAAAAGTTTACAGTTAGAAAATCTTGCATTAACTCAGTCAAAGGTTATTGGGTGAAAAAGACAATCCCAGTGTCTGTGGTTCATAACTAACCCCGACAGCTCTGTATCTGTTTCAGGCTGACAAGTCAACTAAAATAAACTGGAGTTTCTATGGCAGCTTCATCCTTACTATTTTTTAAATATGAAAACTACACTCCACCTGCAATTTATCTATGTCTTTTATTTCAAATGGTGGTTGTTTGTTTTACTCAGAATTACAAACACACAAGATTTTTGATAAATTCCACTGCCAACTTTATTCAGTTGGACTGGCCTTTACTCATTTGACCTGCCTCTTTGACACTTGCTGCCTGTTTTTGTGGACCCAGCAACAGCAAGGACTTTAATTCCATTCCCCACCCCCAATGCATACAACACACACCTACGTGCACGCACATACACAGGCATGCTTAAATTCCCCTGAACTGTATTTGGTGATCTCCTCACTCATTTAAAACATAGATATGAATTGGGTCAGGTCATTTGTATGTTCATTTCTAGAGGTTTGGAAATGAATGAAATAAAGCTCATGTTTAAAATAAAACATTAAAATTAGCTTCTTCCAAGATCAAAGGTTTGATGTTCAAGGAGCAACATCTGAGTAAGTACTTCTAAAGCCAGATTAAGTTTTTAAGCATTTGCTAAAAAATCAATGAGGTTTAATGTGACCTATTTAGGAGAAACAGTTCTTTGTTGTGTTCTATTAGAAGGCTAATCTGTCTATGGAAAAAAAGTAAAATCCTATCTCCTTCCCCTTTCTTTTTGGATCCCACCTGTCTACAAAAAGTAAAGGGGAAAAACTATGAGCAAGCAAAGCATAAAGTGTGTCAACAGTGTACAGAGTTATAGCGGAGAGCTTCACACCTACCTTTATTGAAGATAAGTTCAGCTGGAAAACTAGGGTTCCTTTGCCCCTAAAGCAGCAGAAGCTCCCCCACCTCCCCAGATGTGGCGGTCAAGCTGATAGACAGAAGCTGGCGTTCTTAAACCCCCAGCTCATCAGGTCTCACAACACTGCCTTCCCTCTCTGTGGTCCTATCAGGGTGACTTCCATTCTCATTTGAGAAGCACATTCTAACCTGAGAAAGTCCTGAGATGTCCTCAACTGGACAATGCCATGGACCCTGGGGATGGTCAGAGGATGTTAAGTGACTGCTAGGGTGGCCTGACCACTCCCAATGGACCACAAATGCTGATCTCAGAATCTTTGGCACTTTCCAAAATGTGGCTGAGCAGTAATTTGGAAGCCTAAACCCTGACTTTAGGAATTCATAAGAACAACCAATGTTTTATAAACTCAACAGAAAGTAAAATAAACAAACCCAGGGTTTTATGCTCCCTCTTGTTATTTTTATGGCAATCTTTCAAACTAGTTCAAAATGTTCAATCCTCTACCCCCTCAAGAAATACTGAATTGGGGGCGGGGGAGTACAAAAGAAAACAACTATTTAATAGTAACCAGCATACACTGTAATTCACCATGGGGGAATAGCTAATTAGGAGACTTTGTGGTGAAAGAGTGCAGGTGGCTTTCAGGCTGGCACTGAAATCTCTCTCCTTCCCAACCTTCTCACTGAGGAGGGCCCAGCAATCAAAACAAGGATGTTTATATTTACCCAGAAGTGTGCATGGCAATTGACCATCATGGTTCTCTCAATGAGCTCATCAGGACATTCCAGAAGGTGATGCCCAGAGACCACGCCAGCATTATTGACCAGGACTGAGACCTCGCCAACCTCCTTTCGGACTCTTTCAGCCGTCAGGTAGACATTCTCCCTCTTCCCCACATCACAGGTGTAGGTAAAAACCTGCAAGTTACAGTGGGGCAGAATTTCTTCCTCACCATTTCCAGCTGTCCTCAGAAGTCCAGATGAGGAGAAAAATGGAACAGAGAAGGCAGTGCAGAAAGTGAGTCACATGGCAATCAATAGGACAAAGATCACACAAAACAAAAATACTACAGTGAGCTTCAAATTTCTAACACTGTAAGGCTTGCCAATGACTGAACTTACAGCTGCCTTCCTCCCCTAAAAGTCTTTGGGAATTACAGCAATTTACTGCATAACTTTGCTTAGGGGAAAGTCATGTAATTGTGACAAGTCCAACGCAAGTAGACCACATGGGATCAGCTTGCTGGAGCTAGACACCTGCAAAGAACTGATTTCAGCCCAGAGAATAACACACACACTACACAGTCCTCTTTTTTTTGAGAAACAGTGGCCAGAAACAGCTCTTAATCTTTAGTATGAGCGCCCTCAAAATAGAAACTCACTTCAAGGCTCACAAATCAAAACTATAATTAATAATCTGAATTCATTCAAAGCCAAGAAATGAATCTAAAGTTCCTCATGAACAAGGTCACTTGTTCTAACAGGGGTGGCTGATTCCCTAAGAAGTACCCTCACAAATCAAGTTTACAGGTAAATATGCAATCTTACCACATATGAACTCAAATGATTTAAAAACCAAAATCTCTTCCCTGGAAAATGAATACCCTTATCTTTTAGGTTTGGGCAGAGAGCACAAAAATCTGTTATTTGCTACCCCTCCATACTACCACTGAAAATTGAACATTTTCAACCTTAAATGAAAAAGGCAGGTGCCAGTAAGTTTGGTGACAAATATCAATGTAGGGGAGAAATGGTGCCCAAGTCAATATTCTCTATAGTTCAGTGTTTTCACTGGAAATGAAAAATTTGTCAAAAAGCAAGAGCCATTATCAAATTTCCTGGGCCAATATTTATTATTGGTTATGGATTCTGCTTTGGGTTTTATTTTTTTTTTTTGGCCTCAGATTCGGGTTAATTAATAAGTATACAGAAATGCAGATTTCCTGGGCTGACCAAAAACATGGAAAAAATTTCCAATAAAGCTTAAATCCTTCAAGCGCTTTCTCTTAAGAGTCAGGACATGTCTCAATCAAGCTCAGAGAATGTAACTAAAGCTGGTGAAACAATGTAATTATTTACCCTGGCTTAAGTTATCGTGAAATCATCAATACTGCCCTAGTCTAAGCGGTTCAGACCACGGTAGCACAGATACATGCTTCAGTCGAGTCTGAGAACAACTTCCCAAAGACACTTTAGTTTCCCATCGCGCCGCTTGCAAGTCGGGAGTGAGACATTTATTTGGGATCCAAACCTGTGGTAACAAGTCCTCTGTCTTCCTTACTCTCGGAGGGCTTAGGAACCCCCACAGTCGTCCTAAGAGACTCCGTTAGGACTGGGTTTGGCACACTTTCCCCTTCTAAATCAGAGAGGTGATCATGCTCCTTTATCACAGAGCAAATTCCACTCGCCTTCCAGAAGACTAGTGGGGTGTTCTTTTCCTCGAGAGCGGGGCTGACCATGGCAGTGGGGTTTGGGGGCCTTCCAGGGTAGCGCGCGGGGTGGGGACAGGCTTGACCCAACAATGCTCGGGCGCGGATCCGAGTTACCTTGCAGGGCGGCGGCGTCGGCCGCCTCCAGGTCGCGGTAGATGTGGCGCACCATGCCCGCCGTCTCCTCGTTGCTCTGCGTGTTGATGTCCCAGAGCACGAGCAGCGCCCGGCGCCGGGCGAACTCGAGCGCGAAGAGGCGGCCCAGGCCGCTGCCGGCGCCCGTGATGAGGCACACCTGGCCCGCCACGCTCTTCTCCTTGGGCCGCACCAGCCAGCGCGCCGCAGCCAGCACGAACGCCCAGAGCACTTTGAAAGTGACCACGAAGAACTCCACCACGATGTTCATCGCGGCGCCCGGGGCCTCGCGCGAACCCAGCGCCCGCGTCCGCGCCCACCCCGCGCCAGGCAGCCCGGCCCCTGGGCGCTTGTCAGAGCGGCCGGGACAAGAAGGTTGCGCCCCGCGCCCGCCCCCGAGGTGCCCGCCGGGCTGGAGTGCGCGGCGCCGCTCCCTGCCTGCGCGGGGCCACTCCCGCCCGGGCTCGGCGCGGTGGCCCCGGGCTGTGCCTGCAGCGGCAGCCGCCGGGCTCGGCGCCTCCTGCCGGCGGCCGCCCGCCCGTCCCGCAGCGCCCGGCCGGCGGGTCCCGCTGCAGTGGCGGTGACAGCCGCAAGTTAGGCAACGCACGCTGCCCTCATGGCCAAGCTGCCGCCGCCGCCCGAGCGTTCCCGGAGCCGGCGCGACGGCTCCCTCTCACCCCGGGTGAGGGGTGCGCGGCGAAGACTGCACCGGCCGGCCGGCCGCCGCGGGAGTTGTCAACTTGACCCAAGTTGCGAAAGGGTGGGAGAGTGGGGTGCGGGGCAGCGGAGTGCCGGGAAGGGGCGACTCGCTCGGCGCAGGCGAGCGCTGCCCAACGGCTTGCAGCAGCCTCCGCGGTCTCGTGTCCCCCTGCCCTGCACTCCCCGCGGCTGTCACTCGGGTACCCAGCTCTGCAGCGCAGCGCCGCTTGCAAGTCGGAGCGCTCCCGGCCGGCTTTGAGCGGGCTCCACGCTCCGCGCTATATAACCCGCGACCGGGAAGAGCCGGCGGCGGCATCGGCATCGGCCCTCCCTCCCTCCGCTCGGCCCTCCCCGCCCCCGGGCGCACCCCGCCCCCGGCCCAGCCCCCCGCCCGCCAGCCGTCCTCGGAGCCGCGCGGGGCAGCCCCTCTCACATGGCCGTGGCCACAGCCTCCAGCCCTCGTCGCACCTCCCTTCGCGGCTCACGCCCCCTGCCAAGGGGTGTCTCGGCCTTCGCCTGCCGATCTCGGCGGTCGACAGAGCCCCAGCCATCCCTCTCCGGCCGCGCGGTCCTCGCTAGTCCCCGTCTCGCCACTTTCGTTAGCCAAGGCACTCCGGACGGCGCTGCCTGCGATCAGGCGCTGCGGAAGACAGCCCTGGAGGCTGGGGGAACGGCGACAAGGACCTCGGCAGCGCGGCAAAGGGGGTGCCGGAGTCTGCGACTACGGTTGGCAGAGAGCCGGGAAGGCGACTAAAAGTGACTTCGAATTGCAGCTATCCGTTTGGAACGTGGCCCAAAAGGCTCCCATTTTCCTGGCTGGAACTACCACCGCAGTCGTTGCCTACAGTCCCGGTTAGGCGTTGCCCTCCCGCCGGGTGGGCGGTGAAATAGTGCATGGCGGGATTTGTAGTTCGTACCCATGAGGCATGTCGCCTGAGTGCATTATAGGGAGGAACTCGAGCCTAATCCTGTTACCGCAGCCTGGGGATGAGGACCCCGAGTAGTCAAGGTGTCAGTGCTCTTTGCTCTTGAATTGATTAAAACGTCTAATTAAATGTATATGTTTTTCTCATACGGATTGTACCCGAAAACTATTGGACGAGGATACACTAGGAAGGTCTTAATTTTGCGTTTGCTGGGCAGGTTTTCAGTTCTGGATTCTTTTCTGGCTTATCCTAGGACACCAGTGAGTCGTGGGGCTTCACGCTCGCAGTCTTTAAGTGGGCAGTGCGCATGCGCCAGCTTCCTCTTTTTCCGGCTGGAACCATGGAGGGTGCCGAGTAAGTTGTTTCTCGTCTTCACGAGAATCCTTCTCCATCTTCGGAACCAGAGACGTTTTGTCTCTCTTTCTCCGCATCTGACTGTAGCTTGCATCATTGCCCGCTTGCCTTTGTGTTTATGACGCTCCGTGACACCAGTGGGGCCCCCAAGCTAGTTTGAGAGTCAGGCGGCCTTCGGGCGGAGGTTTTGGAGAGTCCGGGAATGAGACGTGAGGGCGGAATATGTGCGGAACCGGCCGGCTGGGTGAAGGTCCAGTCCTCCGTGGAGGGTCTTTCGAGGGAGGCGCAGAATGTTCTGAGTTGGGTTCGCCGTTGTTTGTAAATAGGCCCAGGCGTCCCGCCGTCTGGCCTTTGCGTTCAGCATGTGGAGCTTGAGACTTGATCCAGGGTGGCGGTGGCTTTTTAAAAGAGAATCGTAGTCTCTTTTTCCCTTAAAATCTGAGGATCGGGACCTAGCAGCAGTCTTTTAGTGTAGCAGATTTTGTTATTTGCCGTGGATTTTTATTAGTCGTCGGAGGCCGGGACTGATGATGGAATTGGTGTGAGTTTATTGTTTTTTCCTATTTGTGGTGTCTTTTAAGTAAAATAGTCCGTGTTAAAGGTTCAAGTTATTGCACGGAGAGATTCTAAAATCTGCATTCTACACCGTAGCATGCCAGAGCAACTAAAAGGTACCTACCTGGGTGGTTAGAGCCAGTGACAGTCGTCGTTCTGTTAAACACCAGAGTGCTCAGTATTTTGTTGGGGCTAATACAGTGGTGTGAGTTTTTTGAGCTGTTGATGTTGTTTGTTTACTAATGCTAGAGAGAAGAAAAAGAAGGTTCCTGCTGTGCCAGAAACCCTTAAGAAAAAGCGAAGGAATTTCGCAGAGCTGAAGATAAAACGCCTGAGAAAGAAGTTTGCCCAAAAGATGCTTCGAAAGGCAAGGAGGAAGCTTATCTATGAAAAAGCTAAGCATTATCATAAGGAATACAGGCAGATGTACAGAACTGAGATTCGAATGGCTAGGATGGCGAGAAAAGCAGGCAACTTTTATGTACCTGCAGAACCCAAATTGGCATTTGTCATCAGGATCCGAGGGTAAGTTCAGTTTTTAAAAGAAGTTACACAACCCCAGCAAAATGTCACATTCCTTCTGGGAGCCTTGATTCTGAAACATTGTAATAACAGTATTTGGGGAGGGGTTGTGATCATTTTAATGGTTTAGTTGAAAGCCCTGAGACTAAAGCTCCTATCCATTCTTAGTTGAACACAGTTCAGTGTCTACTAGTGGTTTTGAGTCTTTGTAACATGAGAGGATTTCTGTCTGTTTAGGTAGGGCTTGTGGGTTGTCCAAAATGAAAAGGATTAATTTGCTGTCCTTTATTAATAAAAATTTTGGTAAAACCCGAATGAATTTTGTGGTCCCTTTCCACTACAGTATCAATGGTGTGAGCCCAAAGGTCCGAAAGGTGTTGCAGCTTCTTCGCCTTCGCCAGATCTTCAATGGAACCTTTGTTAAGCTCAACAAGGCT